CCAAGCATTTGGGCCATCTTCTATTGCTTTCCCAGGCCATAGCAGAGAGCTGGACCGGAAGAGGAGCAGCCGGGACTAGAACCGGTACCCATATGGAATTGCTGGCACTGCAGGCAGCGGCTTTACCTGCTATGGCCATAGTGCCCGCCCATATATATGATTTTTAGAGAATTTAAGGCTTATGCTCTTATGATATTATAGATTCAATTTTATTTTATATAATAGGACAATTGCAACTGTTTGCTATATAATATTTTAATAAAACAAGCGTCACCAAAATCAAGAAATATTTACATTTTTGTGAAAAGATTGTGGATTTTTTGTGTTTTAACAGTGTAAGTTCATTTCATATATTTCATCAGGAGCTATATACTTTTTAAATACGAATACTTTGTTATTTGAAATTTGCCATGTTTAAAACATTGAAGTAAACAATATCAGTCTATTTTGTATGGATTTGAGATTGAGTTACTAAACAAAAATTGTATATAATTAAAAGGTATAGTATATTTTATAATTCAAATCACTTTTACAAATTCAGATTTTGATTTTAATTTAATATTTTATTTTTAATTTTTTTAAAGATCTATTTATTTATTTTAAAGTCAGAGTTACACAGAAAGAGGAGAGGCAGAGAGAGAGAGGTCCTCCATCTGATAATTCACTCCCCAACTGGCTGCAATGGCTGGAGCTGTGCCGATCCAAAGCCAGGAACCAGGAGCCTCCTCTGGGTCTCCCATGTGGGTGCAGTGCCCTAAGGACTTGGGCCATCTTCCACTGCTTTCCTAGGCCATAGCAGAGAGCCGGACCGGAAGTGGAGCAGCTGGGACTCAAACCGGCACCCATATAGGATGCCAGCACTGTATGTCAGGGTGTTAACCCACTGTGCCACTGCACTGGCCCCTAAAATTTGATTTTAAATATAAATGCATTTGATTGTATCCAATTGGTTATCATAAATTGTTAATATTTGCAGAATAAATGTTTTGAAAAATCACTGTTTTTTTAAACATGATGGCTGAGAATACAGTTTTTTGTAAGGTCATATTTCCTAGTATAATTTACTTTTTTTTTTTTTTTTTTTGACAGAGTGGACAGTGAGAGAGAGAGAGAGAAAGGTCTTCCTTTGCCGTTGGTTCACCCTCCAATGGCTGCCGCGGCTGGCGCACTGCGCTGATCCGAAGGCAGGAGCCAGGTGCTTATCCTGGTCTCCCATGGGGTGCAGGGCCCAAGCACTTGGGCCATCCTCCACTGCACTCCCGGGCCACAGCAGAGAGCTGGCCTGGAAGAGGGGCAACCGGGACAGAATCCGGCGCCCCGACCGGGACTAGAACCCGGTGTGCTGGCGCCGCAAGGCGGAGGATTTAGCCTATTGAGCCACAGCGCCGGTCTACCTTTTTTTTTTTTTAAAAAAAGATTTATTTGAGAGGGAGAGAGGAAGGGGGAGGGGGGGGAGAGAGAGAGAGAGAGAGAGAGAGAGAGAGATAGAGATAGAGATATCTTCCATCTGCTGGTTCATTCTCCCAAATGGTTGCAGTGGCTAGGGCCGGGACCAGCTGAAGCCAATAGTTTCATAGAGGTTTCCCACACGGATATAGGGGTACAGGTTTTTGGACCATCTTCTGCTGCTTTCCCAGGCACATTATCAGGGAGCTGAATCAGAAGTGGAGCAGCTGCAATAGTAACTGGTGCCCATAAAGAATGCCAGCATTGCAGGCTGTGGTGTAAGGTGCTATGCCACAACACCAGCCCCTAACTTTGGTTTTAATAGTGGGCAAATTGGATTTATTTTGTACTTAGAACAAATTTTGGTTAAAAGGAAGAGAGACTTTAGTTTTTTTGTTTTTGTTTTTTTTTTTTTTTTAAGATTTATTTATTTATTTGAAAGAGTTACAAAGAGGCAGAGGCAGAGAGAGAGAAGTCTTCTATCTGCTGGCTCACTCCTCAGATGGCTGCAATGGCCGGAGCTGGGCTAGACTGAAGCCAGGAGCCAGGAGCTTCTTCCAGGTCTCCCACGTGGGTGCAGGATCCCAAGGTCTTGAACCATTTTCTACTACTTTTCCAGGCCATAGAAGAGAGCTGGATTGGATGCGCAGTAGCTGGGGCTTGAACTAGTGCCCATATAGGATGCCGGTACTACAGGCCCCAGCTTTACTCACTTCACGACAGCGCTGGCCCCTTTCATTTTTGGAATAGTAAATTATGTCCTTAATCTACTTGTATGAATTATGCCAGGAGGTGGGGAGAACTAACCATAAAGTTTCAATTAGAATATTTGATACTATAATACTAGTAGAATTTGTATTATTTTTTTTTTTTTTTTTTTTTGACAGGCAGAGTGGACAGTGAGAGAGAGAGACAGAGAGAGAAAGGTCTTCCTTTGCCGCTGGTTCACCCTCCAATGGCCGCCGCTGCAGCCGGCGCACCGTGCTGATCCTGGCAGGAGCCAGGAGCCAGGTGCTTTTTCCTGGTCTCCCATGGGGTGCAGGGCCCAAGCACCTGGGCCATCCTCCACTGCACTCCCTGGCCATAGCAGAGAGCTGGCCTGGAAGAGGGGCAACCGGGACAGAATCCGGCGCCCCAACCGGGACTAGAACCCGGTGTGCCGGCGCCGCAAGGTGGAGGATTAGCCTATTGAGCCACGGCGCCGGCTCGAATTTGTATTATTTTTAAAATTCAGCTTCTCCCCAAAATCCTTTGAACTGTATGTGGATTCTAATAGGATAATGCTTTAACAAAAAATCATCAAAATCAGCAGCCCCAAACTAGACTTAGGATGAGGGGGGAAAAAAATCAAGGTTCTAATTTATACAGTTTGTAATGTTAAAATTTTTTTTCTTTTTAGGATTTATTTTATTTATTTGAAAGGCACAGTAGAGAGTGGGGGAGAGAAGAAAGAGAGAGGGCGCTTTCATCAGCGAGTTCACCTCCCATATACCTGCAACAAACAGGGCTGGGCCAGACTGAAGCCAGGAGGTGCAGGAGCTTCTTCCAGTCTCCCACGTGGGTTTCAAGGGCCCAGACACTTGGGCCATCCTCCACTGGTTTCCTAGGCGCAATAGCAGGGAGCTGGATCAGAACTGGAACAACTGGGACTTCAACTGGCACCCAACTGGGATGCTGGCATTGTAGGTGGCAGCTTTACCTGCTGTGCTACAACATGGGCCCCTCATGTTAAAATTTTTAATGTTTAAGTTTGTACTAATTTAGACATGGGTTTCATTTTATTTATTCCTCTCCTAATGCCACTCCCTCTGCATCATGATAAACTGCCCACATTATTTAGTTGGTCTTTGTTAATAGTGTGATATGGGAGAATGAACCAGCTTGATGGCTAGGAGTTACATGATTCTGACTTTGTTAGAACTAGTTAAGTGATTTAGATGAAATATCTGATATAAGCCAGACAAAGAAACTTATACACAGGAAGTTGACATGTACGATGTGGAACTAGTATCTCCCTAGTTGACTTTTAGTAGCAAAATGACATATTTCAAAACACTTGGAAAATTTGTATTTTAAGTATTGTTTGCTTTCACTTTCATAATATCCATGTGCTTTCTCAAATATGATCATTTGTACATGTAAAACAGCCCACAAATTCAGTTTCTTTTTCTTAACAGAATTGACATGTTATATTGTGGTGAATTTGATACAGTTCAGATCGAAAACCTTAGCTGTGTTAGATTGCCTTACAAAAGTGTATATTGATGCCGGATTTTCTTATGGTGGTTCTGTTAGTGCATCTAAATATCTAGAAAACTACTGTAGAGTCAGGTTTTAACTCTAGCTTTCCATATAGGAAGTGATAGGAACTTACAGGAGACAGGAAAATGATGAGACCAGGAGCTGATGGGGGTACAGATCCCCAGTCTTGTAACCTGGGGCTTAAAGAATGGTTTGAGATGCTGAGAAGTGAATGTTTGACAATTCGTGACTACTTAAGAATTCTTGGAATTCTGCTAAATAAGCTTATTAAGGCATTCACATGTCAGTATTATACTGCTTTTTTGATTAAGCTAAAAATAAAATGTCTTAATCTAATTATTCCAATTGAATTTTTATTGCCATATTTCTGGAGATATGTGAGTTGGGCTATAAATTTCTATGATGTGATGACAGGTTGACTATCTAGGTTAACCTAGCAGATAAGACTGTTTTAAAACTGGGATAATCCTGGGCAGTGTGGGACAAATTTGTCTCCTAAATTTATTGACCATAAAGGCTAATGCAGAGGAAAAGGATAATTAGAATTTTGCTTAAAGTTTATGAAAATAAGTTTTTTTCCTTAAAATAAGACTCATCTTGTTTAGTAGTGTTAGTATCTGAAAACACATAGCTTTCTTTGTCAGGATTTAAAAGTGCTTATGAAAATTTAGGTATTAATGAATCTTGAGGTACAGGTTGCTTTATGGTGGCTATTTGAATGCCACTCATTTGCAAGCACTTAAAACATAGTTTTAAGTTTTCAGCAATCTTAGGTGAAACATTCTGGTTAAGGAAATGAATGCTTAAGAGTGGATTTCTGAGGCCGGCGCCGCGGCTCAATAGGCTAATCCTCTGCCTTGCGGCGCCGGCACACTGGGTTCTAGTCCCGGTCGGGGTGCCGGATTCTGTCCCGGTTGCCCCTCTTCCAGGCCAGCTCTCTGCTGTGGCCCAGGAGTGCAGTGGAGGATGGCCCAAGTGCTTCATCCCTGCACCCCATGGGAGACCAGGAGAAGCACCTGGCTCCTGCCTTCGGATCAGTGCGGTGCACCGGCCGCAGCGGCGGCCATTGGAGGGTGACCCAATGGCAAAGACCTTTCTCTCTGTCTCTCTCTCTCTCTCTCACTGTCCACTCTGCCTGTGTAAAAAAAAAAAAAAAGGATTTCTGAAGGTCACATAGCTGTCTTGTTTTGCTTGCCTCGTAGAAGTGTTCTGATATTCTGAAGACTTGTTATTACACAGTGACAGCAAGTATTACTGTGTATATAACTCGCAACTGAATTTCTGTTCTTCAGGTGAAAAGAACATATTCTCATGGTACTTACAGAGCTGGCCCAATGCGACAAATCAGCTTGGTGGGAGCCGTTGATGAAGAAGTGGGAGACTACTTCCCTGAGTTCCTTGACATGCTGGAAGATTCACCGTTTTTAAAAGTAAGGAAAGAATCCCAGCAATTGAAATTGTGGATATTATTCTAATCTAACAAGTGATCCAAATGAACAGCTGTTTCAGAATTAGAAAGATTTTGGTTTTATTTGAATTGAAGGAAAGGAGATAATTAGAGTAATTCTTGAGAAGTGTGGACATGCAACAGGTCCTGATCGTAATGGCAAAAGTTAAATGGCAGACCAGAGGACAACCCTTACCTGTTGCCACTGTGGGAAATCAGTTTTCATGTGTTTGTGAGCTCTTCATAAACTGAGCACTGAAGGATTTAAGCATAGGAAAGATGCCTACTAAATTAAAATGTTTAGGGCAGAGGAGTGGTAATTGGCATTGTGGAAAACTGGCCTGGGAAATTGCACGTCTGCATTTCTGCCTCCGCTGTCCCTAGCTTGATTAGCAAGCACTCTCTGGGCTTCTGTTTCTTCATTCATAATACGAGGTATTTTGACCATATAGCTTAATACTCCTTTAAAGTCGGAGTTTTAGCTAGCTAGGTTCCCTTTCTTTTTTTATTAAAAAAGCAGCTTCTGTATTCCTGGAAATATTTCTTACTGTGGGTTGCTGGGACTGTCCCACTGAGAAATCATTGAGCTGTGTAATTAGTTAATTATTTAATCGCTAATTCAAAGGTCAGTGGGAACCCACATTAAAATTTGGGGTTCAAGTGAGCAGCAGAATGTGACAAGGTTATTTTATCTAAAATACCAGATAATTTGTTGAACATTTCTTTTTTTTTCATTTTCTGCAATTTCTCCCAACTAGTTACATCATTAGTTTCATTTGTTATTGAATATTTTGAAAAAAAAAATCAATATTATTTAGTTTTTCCAAATTTAATTTTCAAAGCAAGTAAGCTAAAAAATCCATTGTTTCTAGAGAAATTTGAGAATCCTTCCTCACTTTCTCACAACTCCTTCTCCACCCACTATGTTTTTTTTTTTTTAAAGATTTATTTATTTATTTGAAATGCAGAGTTACAAAGAGGCAGAGGCAGAGTGAGAGAGGTCTTCCATCTGCTTACTTACTTCCTAAATGGCTTCAATGGCCTGAACTGGGCCAGATCAAAACAAGGAGCCAGGACTTCTTCCAGGTCTCCCACATGGGTGCTGGGGACCAAGGTTTTGGGCCATCTTCTACTGCTTTCCCAGGCCATAGCAGAGAGCTGCATTGGAAGCGGAGCAGCCGGGACTTGAACTGGTGCCCATATGGCATGCTGGCACTGTAGACAGGAGCACCCCGCTATATCTTTTGAAATATTTTAATCTGTGGTTTAGACTAACAGAGTCTCTTTAAGAAACTACTAAACAGAAGTAAATTTTGGTTTTCTTCTTAGTTTTGTTAGGTTACAATTGTCATCAAAGTATCTTTCTTAAAATTCAAATTTGTTCATTTTTATAGATTCTCATGGAGAACACTTGATTTTGTTATCAAATTGTTAGCATCTTGTGATCCTTGGGTCTGGCAGAAGAAAGAGTAACAAGTGAGGATGAGGGAAGAGCATAATTATTCTCTTAGTATGTTTGAAATATAATTTTTGACACAAAAGTAAATGAATATATATTGATATATATTTCAAATGCTTAAGGATAAAGTTGTATATGAAAGCATGAGGGAAGCAATATTTGAAGGTGTACTTTGAGAATAATTGATTTCTAAATAATTATTTGTCTCTAGTGTACACTGCCATGGGGGACACTGTCTAGTCTAAAACTAGAGAGTCGAAAAGATAGTGATGATGGGCCCATCATGTGGGTACGTCCAGGAGAACAAATGATCCCTGTGGCTGATATGCCAAAGTCACCTTTCAAAAGGAAAAGGTATGTCCAAGGGTGTGTGTGTGTGTGTGTGTGTGTGTGCATTTAAAATTGGAGGAAGGAAAAGTTTAGAGCGTAATTGGAGTATAAATTTAAAAATACCTATACATGCTGATATTTGTTATAAAACACTAAATATAAATAAGACACAAGAAACAGGCAAATGACAAGTTATAATTAGAAGTGGAAAAAATACCAGAGATAAACTATTTTGAAATAAATGTAACAAGAAGTATTCAAAACATGTGTTAAGAAAAGACATTTTATCAAAGATGTAAAATGACTAAAACAATTAGATTCACACTTCTAGCACCAGTTAAAATGATTTTAAAGTTTATAAGGAAACTTTATCTGTATAATACAAATAGTAAGAACAATTTCACTTCATCATTGTTAGATTTCAGTAAACTATTGTATTAAAAAGAATGTTTATAAAAAAGAAAACTGGAACAGAAGATAAGAAAGGGATACTTATATTATTAGGTATTAAATTACTATAAAAAGTAGATCATTTAACAGGATACACTTCAGAAGTAGATCTGAATACTAGGAGCTTCATATATGAGTGTTGGGGTTGGAGGGAGGAAGATTTATTCAAGTGAATAATGCTAGTGGAATTGGCAGTCTATCTGAATGAAAACAAAGCAGAGCTCCTGTCTCATAGAAGAAAAATTAGAGACTGTTTCAGGCTGGTAAGGCTGTATATACTGTTGAAAGGAAAGAGAGGTGCTGTAGTAATTTTGTGCAAAAAAAAATGACAATAGCCTTTTATAAAACTTGCAACATAATAATTCTTCAATCTAGGAGGCTTACTTTTGGGAATTTTACCCAAGGCATAAAAACACTAAAGATAAGCATGTAAAAATGTTAATTGTAGCATTGTTTGCAGTGAGAGAAAACATAAACATGACTTGAATGCCCAATCAGCAGGGGAATGGTTGAATATATTAGATACACTTAATTTTTTTTTTTTTTTTTTTTTTGACAGGCAGAGTGGACAGTGAGAGAGACAGAGAGAAAGGTCTTCCTTTGCCGTTGGTTCACCCTCCAATGGCCGCTGCGGCCAGCGCACCGCGCTGATCCGATGGCAGGAGCCAGGTACTTATCCTGGTCTCCCATGCAGGTGCAGGGCCCAAGCACTTGGGCCATCCTCCACTGCACTCCCTGGTCACAGCAGAGAGCTGGCCTGGAAGAGGGGCAACCGGGACAGAATCCGGCCCCGACCGGGACTAGAACCCGGTGTGCCGGCGCCACAAGGCAGAGGATTAGCCTAGTGAGCTGCGGCGCCAGCCATTAGATACACTTAAAAAGTTTTTAAATTCATTTTAAAAATGCATAGATAGATGGAGATTTCTTATTTACTGGTTCAATCCCCAAATGCTTACAACAGCTGGGGTTAGGGCAGTGGAAGCCATGAGTTAGGAATTCAAGCTGGATTTCCCATGGTGGTGGAAGGGACCCAGGTACTTCAGCCATCACCCATTGCCCAGGAAGCTGGAAACAGGAGTGGAGCCAGAAATTGAACCCAGGCTGTCTGATAGGGGACACAGGCTAGACCACTCAATCCCATTTTGTATATTCTTATCCAAGAATATGAGAAGGGGCTGGTGTTGTTGTGTAGTGGGTTAAGCCACTACCTGCAATGCTGGCATCCAGTGTGGGTTGCTGGTTCAAGTCCCTGCTGTACCACTTCTAATCTAGTTCCCTGCTAATGTGCCTGGGAAGAGAGCAGAAGATGGCTCAGGTCCTTGGGTCCCTATACCCATATGGAAGACCCAGATGGAGTTCCTGACTCCTGGCTTTGACTTGATCCAGCCCTGGTTGTTGCAGCCCATAAGAGGAACCAGTGAATGGAAGATATCTCTCTCTGTCTCTCCTTCTCTCCCTGTAACTCTGCCTTTTAAATAAATAAATAAATAAATATATATATTTTTTTGACAGGCAGAATGGACAGTGAGAGAGAGAGACAGAGAGAAAGGTCTTCCTTTTGCCGTTGGTTCACCCTCCCAATGGCTGCCGCGGCGGGCGCATTGTGCTGATCCGAAGGCAGGAGCCAGGTGCTTCTCCTGGTCTCCCATGGGGTGCAGGGCCCAAGCACTTGGGCCATCCTCCACTGCACTCCCTGGTCACAGCAGAGAGCTGGCCTGGAAGAGGGGCAACCGGGACAGAATCCAGCACCCCAACTGGGACTAGAACCCAGTGTGCTGGCGCCACTAGGTGGAGGATTAGCCTATTGAGCCACGGCGCCGGCCAATAAATAAATCTTTTAAAAAATCATTAAATAGCTAAAAAATAGAATTTTTATGCTTTTCATCTGGAAAAATATCCATGATACTTGAAAAAGAGCAAAATGTGGAATAATGTATCTAGTATGCTTCTATTTTTATGAAAAAAAATCCCATGTGTAAAGATATATATAAACTAGAATATATTTATAATATATAATATATATATTTATATATATATATAAACTAGAATAAGGTGTGGAGAATAATGTGCACTAGGTTAATATCGGTAGGAATGGAGGGAGTGATGCAGAGGGAGATACCAGCTTTTTCTTTAGAGAACTAAAATGATTTTACTGGGTCTAACGATTACTTTTTTGACAATTTTAAACAAAGATTTATGTATTTTAAGGGCAGAATTAGAGAAAGAGAGAAATCTTCCATCTGTTGGTTCACTCTTAAAATGGTTGCAACTGCTGGAGCTGGGCCTAGCTGAAGTCAGGAGCCAGGGGCTTCCTCTGCGTCTCCCACATTATTGCAGGGGCCCATGCATTTGGGCCATCTTCTGCTGCTCTCCCAAGGACATAAGCAGGGAAGTGGATTGGAAGTGGAGCAGCTGGGACTCGAGCTGGCGCACACATGGGATTCTGGTTCTGAAGGTGGAGGATTAACCTACTATGCCACTGCACTGACCCCATTGTTTTGTTTGTTTGTTTGTTTTGATAAAGACTTTATTTATTTACTTGAGAGAGAGAGTTACAGACAGAGAAAGGGAGAAACTGAAAGGTCTTCCATCTGCTGGTTCACTCCCCAAATGCCACAGTGGCTGCAGCTGTGCCAATCTGAAGCCAGGAGCCAGGAGCTTGGCTCCCACTTGGATGCAGGGGCCTGAGCACTTGGCCATCTTCCACTGCTTTCCCAGGCCATAAGCAGAGAGCTGGATTGGAGGAGGAGTAGCTGGGACACGAACCAGCAACCCATATGCCGGCACAGCAGGTGGAGGCTTAGCCTACTACAGCAGCGCTGGCCTCTGATTATTAATTAAAGAAAATTATTGAGTAAACTGTAAGTTGCCTGATGACAGAGGTTTCTGATGGCATATTCCTATGTGACTTTAGCATCTGAACAGTGTTTGATACATACTAAACAATTGGATGAATGAAATTGTACAAATTAATTTGTAAGTTGTTAGTAAAATTGACATGTTCTCAGTGGTTCTTAACTTTTTTGGGAGGATCAGTCTTGAAGTTTCTTCTCGGAACAATGCAGATGTACACAAACTTTCAGAGATAGTTTAAAGGGGGTTCATTAGCCCCCTGAGGAACTTCCATGTACCTAAGGGTTTATAACCATAGTATTTGTGATGATTTAACATCATACTGTAAACCCACCAATGATAACACTGTGCCTGGCACTGTGCTAAGTCTGTATGTATTTTAATTCATTAGAAGATGGTGTTTATGACACAAATTTATGGGCTTTTGAAGGCCTTGTAGTTTCTCACAGGAAGTAACAATATTATGTAGTTTCCTGACACACATAGAACATGAAGCACAAAGAGCAAAAACAGTATCATATGTTTGTATATGTATTAAAACTGTAATGCAGGGGTATACAAAGAGCAGTAAGTAGTAGACATTAAAAACAGGAATTCAGAATGGCCCCTAGGAAAAGAGACTAGGGGAAGAGGAAAAAATTATGAGGGTAATTCAGAGCTGTCTCTGGAAGCAACAGAAAAACCATAGAGGGACATAAATAAGATGACGACTCTCAGCCTCAGTCCTCTCATCCCTTTCCCCTTCGGCCATTTTTGCAATGAGTAGTGCTGTGTTAGCAGCAGTAGCTTCTGTAAGGTTAGGATCTCATTTGCCACTACCTAGGTAGCATTTGGCATATAGTACCTACAATGTGTCTTTTTTTTTTTTTTTAAGTATTTTACTTATTTATTTAAGAGATAGAGTTACAGACAGTGAGAGGGAGAGCCAGAAAGGTCTTTCATCCGCTGGTTCACTCCCCAAATGGTCACAATGGCCAAAGCTGGCCCCATCTGAAGCCAGGAGCTTCTTCCAGGTCTCCCACGTGGGTACGGGGCCCAAGGACTTAGGCAGTCTTCTACTGCTTTCCCAGGCTATAGCAGAGAGCTGGATGGGAAGAGGAGCAGCCAGGACTAGAACTGGCACCTATATTGTATGCTGGCGCCACAGGTGGAAGATTAATCTGTGCCACGGCATCAGCCCCACAATGTATCTTCTATAAATAAGTAGTAATTTCATTTTTTTTTTTTTTTTGACAGGCAGAGTTAGACAGTGAGATAGAGAGAGAAAGGTCTTCCTTCCGTTGGTTTATCCCCAAATGGCCACTACAACTGGCATGCTGCGCCGATCCGAAGCCAGGAGCCGGGTGCTTCCTCCCGGTCTCCCATGTGGGTGCAGGGCCCAAGCACTTGGGCCATCCTCCACTGCCTTCCCAGGTCACAGCGAGAGCTGGACTGGAAGAGGAGCAACCAGGACTAGAACTTGGGGTCCTAGCACCGCGCAGAGGATTAGCCAGGTGAGCCACGGCGCCAGCCAGAATTACATTTTAAAAAGTTATCTGTTCTAGGGCTGGTGCTGTGGCGCAGTGGGTTAAAGCTGTGGTCTGAGGCACCAGCATCCATGTGGGCACTGGTTCTAGTCCCAGCTGCTCCTCTTCCGATCCAATTCTCTGCTATGTCCTGGGAAAGCAGAAGATGACCCAAGTCCTGGCTGGGCCCGCGCTGCGGCTCAATAGGCTAATCCTCCACCTGTGGTGCCGGCACACCGGGTTCTAGTCCCAGTCGGGGCACCTGGTTCTGTCCCGGTTGCCCCTCTTCCAGGCCAGCTCTCTGCTGTGGCCCGGGAAGGCAGTGGAGGATGGCCCAAGTACTTGGGCCCTGCACCCCATGGGAGACCAGGAGAAGCACCTGGCTCCTGGCTTCGGATCAGCGCGATGCGCCGGCCACAGCGGCCATTGGAGGGTGAACCAACGGCAAAGGAAGACCTCTCTCTCTGTCTGTCTCACTGTCCACTCTGTCTGCCAAAAAAAAAAAAAAAAGAAAGAAGATGACCCAAGTCCTTGGGCTCCTGCACCGTGTGGGAGACCCAGAAGAAGCTCCTGGCTCCTGGCTTCAGATCGGTGCAGCTCCGGCCGTTGTCGGCCATCTGGGGAGTGAACCAGCGGATGGAAGACCTCTCCCTCTCTGTCTCTACCTCTCTCTGTAACTCTTTCAAATAGATAAAATAAATCCTTTTTTTAAAAAAGTTATCTGTTCCAGATGTGAGGTTACTACATAAAGATCATGGAAAATGCATATTGTAAAGCAACTGTGCATGGTTTCAAAATTCTTTTGTCATTAAAATAAACATATTTTAATTCTGTTTTTCCATGAACTTTTTAAAGCCCTCCCTCCTATCTTGTGTTAAGCCACCTGATCTGAGTGCAGGCATAAGTAGACCCAAACTTTGGGCAAAGATTCTGGAGACAGCAGTGTCCTTTTACCCCAGTGTAAGCTTGAATTTGTGGATAGTAATAATCCTGTGCATGCATATGTATGATAAAATTTAATATAACTTAGGTACAGTAAGATACTAGCAACTAATAAAATAGAACAGTTTTAACAATATACTATAATAAAAGTTATATGAATGCAGTTTCTTCTCTCGCTATCAAAATCTTACTGTAATTTTGCCTTTTTATATAAAGAAAACATTTATGGCTTCTCTTTGGCATATCTAAATTACCAATATCACTATTCATGAGCTTTGGGACTATTATTAAATAAAATAAGGGTTACTTGAACAGAAGCCCTGTGATACTCTGACAGGTGTTTTGATAGTAGAGATGGCTACTCAGGGACTAATGGGTGGGAGCATGTTGATGCACTGGACAAAGCATGATCAGGTCCAGAGTGGAATGGAGTGGGATGGTGCGAGATTTCATCATGCTGCTCAGTTTGACGTGCAGTTTAACACTTAATAAATTGTTCATTTCTATAATTTTCCATTTAATTTCTTAGGCCCACAGATAACTGAAACAGTGGAAAGCAAAACAACAGATGAGGGTTTGCCCTGTGTAGGGAAACCTGGGCAAATCACACCATCTACCTGTAAATTAGTTTGTTAACCACATATACGTGTATTTCCTCATAATTGTCACTTTTGTGAGGGGCATATGAGAACAAAGAAGGGACTATATGTGTGTTTTTTGTTCGTGTTCATTTAAAAGATAAAACTCGAAATGCCTTAAGAAATATCTTATTGTACTTTCACCTTTTCACCTAAAGCAAATACTTTATGGCAGAGCAGGTGATTTTAAATCCTTTTTGTCTGAATATGTGATTAGTGAATATCTGATGTTGTTGAAGTGTCAGTATACAAGTGTAGCTTACTCTTTTTGAACAGAACGACCAATGAAATAAAAAACCTTCAGTACCTACCTCGAACTAGTGAGCCTCGTGAGATGCTCTTTGAAGACAGGACAAGAGCTCATGCAGATCACATAGGACAAGGTTTTGAGCGACAGACGACAGCTGCTGTTGGAGTGCTGAAGGCTGTACACTGTGGAGAGTGGTATATACACCTACGGCTGTTTTAATGAAAAGCTTCTAGGCTTCTAAACTTTTTCTAGGAAAGTTTCTTCGTAACTTCTTATTATGAGAAAAAAGCTTCATTATTTCCCTGTATTGGGATGTCCTAGTTATATAATTACACTAAAGATTTTAAATTGTAAAAATCTAGTACAAGTCATTTGTGTTGAGAGAAATGTAATTTCATTTTCTCTGTAACATGAAGACAAAAGAATGTTGAGAACATTCAAAATCTTCCTCACCAACTGCTTTTGAGATATATAGTTAAATATTGCCATATGTTACCATGGTTACCCTGCTGTCCTTTATATAACATTAGAAGGTACTCCCTCTAGTAATCACTATTCTATCCTCTACTGTTTTTTTAAGCTTCCATATATATGTAACTGAGAACATGTGGGATTTGTCTTTCTGTACCTGACTTCTTTCCTATATGACATCCTTGATTTATAATCTTTCTACAGTACTTTGTTTTTTTATTTATTTATTTATTTATTTGACAGGCAGAGTGGACAGTGAGAGAGAGAGACAGAGAGAAAGGTCTTCCTTTGCCGCTGGTTCACCCTCCAATGGCCGCCGTGGCCGGCGCGCTGCGGCCGGCGCACCGCGCTGATCCGATGGCAGGAGCCAGGATCCAGGTGCTTTTCCTGGTCTCCCATGGGGTGCAGGGCCCAAGCACCTGGGCCATCCTCCACTGCACTCCCGGGCCACAGCAGAGGGCTGGCCTGGAAGAGGGGCAACCGGGACAGAATCCGGCGCCCCAACCGGGACTAGAACCCAGTGTGCCGGCGCCGCTAGGCGGAGGATTAGCCTAGTGAGCCGCGGCGCCGGCCTCTACAGTACTTTGAACTTTAGAACTAACTTAATTCTACAAATGTTAACCTTAACTTTAAAACAAAACACCTGCCCTTTTGGTTTGCATAATTTACTGACTCAATTCATTTTAGGTTTTCAAAATCTTGTGATAAATAGCTATGATAAAGTAAAGTGGATTATTTTTAATCGGTGTTCAGGTTGAAAATCTTGGTTTTAGCTGTTTAAATATGTAGTTTTCCATTTATAATTTATTTGTAAGACATTACTTTGGTATTGATTTTAAACTACTTTTGCTTGAATTTAATAAGGACTAAATAGAGTGAAACATTAATGCCAGATTCTCCATGATCTCATTTTACTTAGGCCCGATCAACCCCGAATAACCAAAGATGTAATTTGTTTTCATGCTGAAGATTTCTTAGAAGTAGTTCAACGAATGCAGTTAGATTTACATGAACCTCCTCTGTCCCAGGTACATGTAAAACAATTACTATCTTTAGCTTGGTTTTAATTGTGGAATAAAGTCTTACTTATATTCCTTGTTTCTTTTTTTAGTGTGTCCAATGGGTTGATGATGCAAAACTTAATCAGCTGAGGAGGGAAGGCATTCGATATGCCAGGATTCAGCTGTATGATAATGACATTTATTTTATTCCAAGGAATGTTGTTCATCAGTTCAAGACAGTTTCAGCTGTATGCAGCTTAGCCTGGCATGTTCGGCTCAAATTATATCACTCAGAGGAGGACACTTCTCAGAACACAGCTACTCATGAAACAGGCACTTCCCCAGACTGCTCATCATCAGTTCCTGGACCTCACCCTGACAGCACGCGTTGTGCTGGGAGCAAAACCTCTGTGGATTCTGGTTTTTCAGACAAACTTCATTCTAAATATGAATTACAGCAGACTAAACACGAACCCATTGCTTCTGTAAGAATCAAGGAGGAACCTGGGAATGTTAATATTTCTGAAAAGACTAGAGCATCGAATAATATGGATGGCAAGAATGTTAAAGGAAAATTGGATCATGTTCAATTTACAGAATTTAAAATTGATGTGGATTCTAAATTTGAAAACAGCAGCAAAGAATCAAAGGAAGAATTGTGCCCTGGAAGCCTCATAAATCTGATAGATACAAGGCAACCTAGTTCAGCACATTCAAATCAAGATGGAAAAGATGATGACATTTTGTGCTAAGTTTGTACATACAGAATTGTGTTTTTTTAATTAATAATGTAATAAAGATTCATGAATTCTGAAAGCAAGCCAAGGACTTGCTCCCACATCTGTTACAAAATATAGTTTATGTAGCTTTGTAACATTCCTCAGTGCCTGTCCATAACTGTGAAGTATGAAGCACTTAGGGCCAGTTGCACTGTAAACATTGCAGGTTTAAACATAAAAGAGTCTTTAAAAAATCATTTGAGTTGGAGTTACAAGTTTTAGAATAGAGCTGACATTAACATATATATTTTGTAATATGAGCCAGAATTCTTTTTTGACAACTTAAGGCTTTTCCATAGAGCTTATTTATACCAATTTTTTTTTTCATTTTAATGTGTCAGCACTGTAGTGTAAATAGCTTTAAAAAGTTTTTTAGTGTGATTTATACGATGTGAGCCACTCAATAAAGGTTCATAATAATAAATATGTTTTCTGTTGGGTCTGCAAAGACAAATTGACAATTCATTTAAATCATTTGTTTGATATATTATGTTTCTCTGTTAATATATCCATTTAGAGTGGTAATGAAGTGTAAATGTACGCATCCAAATCTAGTAAATATTTAAATTCTCACACTGTGCAAGCATTTTAAAAGAACCAAGATTCAGTTATGAAAGCATATATGTGTGTATGTATGTATGGGAATGTATATATGTATATCATTTTGTGTAATTTCTTATGTTGCTGATAAGATGAATATGTGACACTTCTTAGCCCTATTCCCTGGAATACATTTTTAAATATTTATATGCAACATTAAGAAAGCAGTTTAGTTAGTAGAAACAGTTTTAGAAAGTTGGGGTAAACAAGGTATATTAATGATACCGAACCCTTCTATCTAATCATGTGGCCAGATTACATATCCCTAATGGAAATTTCCTTTGCTCTATATGGAATAAGTTTAGAAGATTTTCTTACTAATAAGCATCTGTGTTGTACTTAGTGGTAGCTAAGTAAGATATGGTTAGCTGCAGAAAGTTTAATTGTAATCAGTTACAATCCTCTTTTACATTTTTCTTCCAAAATGCGAAAAAAAATACGGCAGACACAAAATCATGACATAAGGGCAATGACAATGACTCAATTGCCGTATATACAAGATATAACAGAATACGGTGTTACCTCATCGTTCTCAGGATCTCCTGCCCACCTTAGCAAGGCAAACAACTCGTAACACTTCCTTTTCAAAAGAAGCTCTAAAGGACACTGCAGTAGGAAACAAGACAGTGTGTACAGATGAGTAAAACCAATCTCTTTGATGCTGGGCTTAAGCACTCTCAGACTGCTTCCACTACTGTTAGGAAAGTCAGACAAGAGCCTCTGATGTATGCATTGATAAAAGGAGCTCTGCTCACTGCAAATGTGTTTTATTTTATTTTTGGCATTATTCTGGGCCCATACTTTAGTGAGTGACTTTTAACTAGGGCTCTTTATTTTTCCTTTGGGGCTACTATTGTTGTGTGTGTTTCAGTGGTTTCTGTCCTGGCCTCACTTGTGGTACCCTTGATCAAAACTGCTCATTGTTTCTGGTTAGAGAGAAGCCATTTAGAAATAAGCATTTCACCAGAACAAAAATTAACTGCAGTTCTGGCTCTCAATTTTATTAAAAAAAAAAAAATAGGCAAATGTCTTAGGAAGTCTTGATGGTTTCTAGGAAATCAGTATGTTTGCAACATAGGAAATCTCATGGGATAAGGAGGGCACAAATGATGATAATGTAAATAGGGGTTCTGTTTTACATGTCACTTGTCTCATCCTGTTTCCCACCTATTTAATCTTCTCTTTTAAGTTAAATTTATGGATTTGCACCTAACTTGTTGGGAGACAAAAGTTCTTAATAAACCAGTACTGAGAAATAGGAAGGGATGCTAAAATGTTTTATTTTTTAGTTGAAGGGTGACACATTTAATAGGGCGTGTATTTGGGTTTTGTTGTTGTTTTGTTTTCCAGTAGCATATACATAGGTGCACTGAGGTTGTACTATAAGAAAATATCTTTAGGGTGTCCCTCCAAAATATACGAGCCTTAAACTTTTAACTTCAAGGGAGGCATATATAAAACAGATCTAGTTTCCTGCAAAGGCTATAGTCAAATATCCGTAATTTGAAAAATTGTTTCGTAAAATGCATACATCTCTGTGGAGGTGGAGTATAAATCTTGGGCTTAAGATGTCAAGAAACAGCCTTGAATAATGCTTATGTTCCTTGTCTTACGGGTTATAATTTACAAATTTTCATCAGATGGAATCTGAAAACTTGTTGACTACCTTTGTTATAAATTCTATTTTAATATTGCATTATATTAATGGCTTCCTAGTTAGTACATTCCAGTTCTTTATCTGAAATATAAGGTTTTTGCTTTTGTTTCTGATTTCTTGGACCAGCTAAATAAAGCACTTAAGATATAGTTTCTATGTGGTCATAAACTATATAGAATAATTGTTATGCAAATTATTAAATGGATATACAAACCTTTTAAAAACTAAGATACCTCTGTGGTGTCTACTACAGTGCTTTTTTACCCCTAATTTTGTTTAGACCCTTGTAGATATCTAAGTAATATATATATTCCTTACTCAGGTTAGCTGGTTAGCTAGCAAAAAAATTCAGTATTTCTGATATTTAGTTGCAAACTTTACTAAAGCCATATTCATTATCTTCCTTGTTATCAAGGCTGTTGACTTTAAATAAAGATTAGGTTCATTCAACATTATTAACACTGCATGTGTGTGTGTGTGTGTGTGCATGTGTGTTTTCCTCTGTGTGTAAGTTTGTTGGAATACTCTTTCTACATATTTTCATTCATCCTATAACTTTCTGGAGGGTTAGGCGTGTAGAGGGTAGTAAAGATTATTTTATTTCTTAGGTTAAGTCTTTAAGGTATTTTATTAGTTTTCCTAAACATAAAGCAGTTTTTTCCCAAATACTTATGGCAGGTAAGAAGATTTTTGTAAATAATAAATTAGCACCATTTTTGGTAAAATAGCATTCAATTATTTTTTTGAATAGGTTTATTGTCATGTAAAGCAAAACTCAAAATTTACACTTGGCAAAGGTGCGATATTTGTTTTTGGAGTTCCAAGAGGTATTTTTCTTGTCTTCCACCTTTCAATAAATACTAAGATTGATAACCATAATCTTTTTACCTTTGTTTTGTAATTATTCATAAGTTTGACATTTTATTTTAATCTTGTCATCTTTAAAATTGTGAAGTCTTGGAAATGATTCCAAACTGAAAATCTTTTCTTTTAAAAACTAGCAACCAGAAGCTGACTCATGGCTGCAGAGGAGAGTATCGAGGTTTACTTTAGGGCCACCAAACTCTTAGTTACGTGTGTTGGGAGTGCCATGGTGAATGCCTCCCCTGCTCCACCGAGGCACAGCCAGGTCTGCTTCAGAGAGAAGTGCGGTTCTTCTCAAAATACTTTTAGGCTGCTGACAAGAGACATGATGCACCTTAAGTCTTTAAGGGTGGTAGAGTATCTCTTACTCCACAATCTGATGTTAACCACTTTGATATGTAAACAAAGCTTTATTGGTTTTAGAACGCATTGTTTGTTTCATGACACAAACTGACAGTTTGGACAATTCAAGAGAGCCGCAACTCCTTTGATCTTGCTTGGCTTCTTTGTTCAGCACTCTTTGTGGGACCCACCGCAGCCTGCAGGTGGAAGTGCCCCTTTTTGTAGAACTTAATGGCGCACAGAACTGAAAGGCAGTGTCTTTCCCTTTTAAATCTGAAGACATTGTTACAGCCTGTCTCCACTGGGAGAGCAGGGAAAGGAGAAGCACTGCGTTTCCCTTCCTCTTCCCCTCCAGCTCTTCCTGGACTTAGACACAGGCAGGAAAGGTGGACGAGCTGAGGACAAAGTATGGGCAGGTAGAATTTATGTCTACCAGAAATTAAAAGTACAGTTCACTACCTATATGTTTCATTACTATGATCTGCCTACCACGAACTGCAAAGTAAAAAAAAAAAATGAGAACTCTGGGGGCAGGTGTTTGGCTTAATGGTTGAGACACCATTTGGGACACCTGCCTCACTGCTAATGCACACCCTGGGAAATAACAGGTATGGCTCGGGTGGCTGGGTCCCTGACACTCAATTTGGGAGTCCTGGGTTGAGTTCCTGACTCCCAGCTTCGGCCCCTTGGCTTTGTGGGCATTTGGGGAGTAAAACAGCAGATGGGAATGAACTTTGTTTTCTCAAATACATATTTTTTAAAATACGTGAACTCTGGATCCTTCTATACATTTTGAAATTTAGAATTAATGTGTATTTTTAAAATGTTATTCTCTGCTTTCCTGTGAAGATTCAGAGGCAAGTCAGTCACATATACTTGGCATAATGTGGTGTTGAATAGTCTATTTGGACAGATAGTTTGACCTTCTCCCCTTAGTTTTCTTGAAATTATTGTTTTAAACCGAGCCAGATTCTTACATGAAAAATCTTGTCTATTTAATCACTCAACTGCAGTGATTGTCTCAGCAGTCACCTTTTGATTGTCAAATCCATTGGCAGTATTTCTTGGTATTTCTTTAATTCTTATAGCACTTTAATCATTCATTCACTCCTTAAAACTCTTGATGACTGGTTTGGCTTTTTTTCTGCCTTACCATGTAGTGTAGCTGTTCCTTCCCTCCCTAATTTGGTGATTAGTGAACTCTCTACATAGTCATTTTATAGAACACGATTTTTCTGTTTTTATCGCCTGTGTCCAATTTATGAGATTTTGAGTGACCCTAGAAATGTTGAGAGGCAGACAGATGCACATGCACACACAGACCCTTCCATATGCTGGTAGTTCCCAAATGCTTGCCAAGGGTGGGGCTGGGCTAGGTTGAAGCCAGAACCCCTGAACTCATTCCAGGACTCCCATACAGTGTCAGGGCCCCAACTACTTGAGCCATCACCTGCTGCCTTCCAGGGTGCACATTAGTAGAATGCTGGAATCAGAAGCCAGGACTGGAGCCCTGGCACTGTGATATGGGAGCTGGGTGTCGCAAGTGGCATCTGAACTGCTGTGTGAAACACCTGTCTGCAACATATTTACAATTTATCTACTTTTGCTGTCCCATCAGTTGTGGAATGAGAAGGCCATGCCAAGATGACCACTGGCAAGCAGGCATCAGTTACTCAGGAATGGCTTCAGAAACCCCTGGGAAACCACCTGGCAACGGAGCCTGCCTGGCAACAGGCTGTGATTTGTTAGGGCATAAACTGCCCCTTGACCGGATTGGCTGCCTCAGCTATATAAGCTGCTGTACCAACTGAAAAAAGCAAGTCTACGGGCTGCTCGCCTCTGGCCCGCTCTCACCTGACTCCCGGGGTCTGTGTGGTGACTCTGTGCCTCTTGCCCCCACTGCACTCCTCTCAGAATGAATCCACAGCAACAGGCAGTCACAGTGGATTTTTGTTGCACTTACACTCTTAAAATAACTTAAAAGATGTTTAGACTACTAGAGAATTAGGTTGCCTATAATCCTCTGCTTTTGCCTTTAGTTTTAAAGGCCACTCTGTTCTGTGACCAGCAGGTTAACATTTGTGGGACAGGTATGATTGTTACTCTTCTGCTTAGAAATACTGCATGACTCCTTTCCTAGAAAGGATAAAGGCCAAAAAATAGGATTACACCAGAAAGTCTTCACAGTGTTTTCCTTCTTTTCCACAAGCTCTTCCATCTGATGTGCCCAGTTTACAGCTTTACCAGATGGCAATGCAGTCATCCCTCCGTACCAGTGAGGGCTGGTTCCAGGACTCCCCTCTTTTGGCAAAGTATGAGATGCTCAAGTTCTTTGTAGAAAAAAGCATAGCCTTCACATATAACCCATTCACATACTGCCTTTAAATCATATCTAGATTAGTTATGCTGCCTAATACAATGCAAATGCCACAGGGGAGAAGTTGCTTAGGAAACAGAGCCAAGGAAAAAAAAATTTTTTTCTGAATATTTTCCAACTGTGGCTGGCTGATTCCATGGCTGTGGAACACGTGGATAAGAAGGGCTGACAGTACTTGCCAATTCTTTGCCTTTGCTGAGGAAATAATCTGGAACACAACACGATGCAAACTTCTTTCTCTTTTCAAAGCCATTTTTTAAAAAGATTTTTATTTATTTATTTAAAAGGCAGAGTTACACAGAGAGAGGAGGAGAGGCAGAGAGAAAGAGAGGTCTTCCATCTGCTGGTTTACTCCCTAGATGGCTGCAACGGCTGGAGCTGTGCTGATCCGCAGCCAGGAGCCAGGAGCTTCTTCCAGATCTTCCACGTGGGTGCAGGGGCCCAAGGACTTGGCCCATCTTCCACTGCTTCCCCAGCCATAGCAGAGAGCTGAATCGGAAGTGGAGCAGCCAGGACTCGAACCAGTGCCCACATGAGATGCTGGCCCTGCAGGCGGCAGCTTGACCCAGTAAGCCACAGTGCCAGCGCCTTCAAAGCCATTTAAATGTTATCTTTGTTGCCTTGACTGCGTTCGTCTCCCCTCATCTGGTGGCTGGTGTACTACCAGTTCTCTCTGCTGCTTGTACCCGCTTGCTCACATCGTACTGGCTAGGTACACACTGGACTTTAGCTGAACCATGAGGTAGAAGTTAGGAGTTTCCTTGATCATTTAATATCCTCAAATATCATTTTGTATCACCTAATATATGGTGCACTTGTTCAATAAAATATCTGAAGGATCCAAAGTTGTTATCTTAGAGGTGAGAACAAATTATGTATATTTTTATAATTTAAAAAGTGAATCCCTGACTTACACCTTAGAGATTTTGTGGGTTTTGTTCTAGACTTTCACAATTAAGTGAACATCACAATAAAGCCAAGTCATGAGATTTTTTTTTTTTTTTGGCTTTCCAGTGCATATACAAAATTATGTTTGTATATACTGTAGTCTATCAAGTGTTCAACAGCATTGTCTTAATATGAAGCTAATTAAAACATACTGCTAAAAAATGTTAACGGTCATCTGAGCCTTAGTTGTAACCTGTTTTGCTGGTGGAGGGTCTTACCCTGATGTTAACAGCTGCTGACCAATCAGCATTGTGGTGGCTGAAGGGGTTAGGGTGGTTGTGCGAGTTTCTAAAAATATGACATCAGTTAAGTGTGCCACATGGCTTGATTCTTCCTTTTGTGAAAGATTTCTCTGCAGCATGCCATGCTGTTTGACAGCATTTTGCTCACAGCAGAACTTTGAAAATTGGAGTCAATCTTCTCAACCCTACGGCTGCATTGTTGACTGAGTTTATGCAATCGACATGGTTTGATGCCGTGTTTCACGCTGTTTCAGCATCTTTGCCAGAAGCAAATTTCATCTCAAGAAACCACTTTTCTTTTTTCTTTTTTTTTTTAATTTATTGACAGGCAGAGTGGACAGTGAGAGAGAGAGAGAGAGAAAGGTCTTCCTTTGCTGTTGGTTCACCCTCCAATGGCCGCTGCGGCCGGCGCGCTGCGGCGGACACACCGCGCTGATCTGGCAGGAGCCAGGTACTTATCCTGGTCTCCCATGGGGTGCAGGGCCCAAGCACTTAGGCCATCCTCCACTGCACTTCCTGGCCACGGCAGAGGGGCAACCGGGACTAGAACCTGGTGTGCCGGCACTGCAAGGCAGAGGATTAGCCTAGTGAGCCGCGGTGCCGGCTTAAGAAATCACTTTTCTTTGCTCTTCATAAGCAACTCAGGGTCTGTTCAAGTTCCATCAGCAATTCGGTCACATTTTCAAATTACCCTTCTGATTCTAATCCTCATGCTATTTCTACCACATCTGCAGTTACTTTTACTTTCTCTACTTAAGTATTGTACCCCTCAAAGTCATCTGTTTTGACTACTTTCCATGAATCAATAATGTTCTTAATGGTGTCTAGAATGGTGAATCCTTTCTAGAAGTTTTAACTTCCTTTGCCCAGGTCATCAGAAGACTTACTGTCCATAGCACCTTTGACTATTTGAAATGTGTTTCTTAAATAGTAAGACATGACAGCTGAAATTCCTCCTTGATCGCTGAGCTGCAGAATGGTGTTTCACAGGTATGAAAATGATATTGTTGCACATCTCCATTACAGCTCTTGAGTGACAAGACAACTCAGTGAGCAGTAATGTTTAGAAAGGAATCTTTTTTTCCAAGCAGTAGGTCTCAATAGTG